TTATCTTATCTTAAGTAAGAGTGAGTTACCATTAGGAGTAGGTAATTAGGAGTTTGAGTTCAAGTTGGAGTTTGAGTTTAATTAGGAATTTCCTTCTGTAATCTCCTATTTAAGGAGCTACGAATTGAAATAAAGGATTTAGTTTTTCAGCCAAGAAAAGAGTGAGGAGAGTTCGGGTGGTCTCTTGGGCAAATCACCCATTCAGTCCCGCAAAAGGGTCTGCACGCAAGGGAAGATGCAAGGGAAGGTAGGGCATTCGCACCGTGGACCGACCCGTGACAGGATCCTATGCGCGGGACCATAACAAAATATCCAAATTCGACCGACTATTTAATTCTTATATATAATATATAAATATTTTATATGATTTGTATATATAAAATAATTAAGTTATATAAATAATTTATATACTTTATATCAATAAAATATTTATTAATTACCTAAAATAATTAATTAATCGAATTTGAATCGAATCGAACATTCGAATATTTAATTGGATTCGAATTCGGATATTGCTTGATCCTATTCAAATTGATCCGTTTACACCCCTTTGGTGTGCTTTCAGACTTGGGTCTTTCTTGAGACCTAGGTTTCAGAAGGGATCTGAGAGATAACGAATGTGTTTCCCTAATGCTTTTGATCTCAACCTTGGAGAAGGTCCAATTAGACCAAAATTCAGCTGACAATAGAATCAGGTCCCCAGCCTCTGATGGCTTATTCTCTTGTGCCTCTTCTTCAGTCTGCTCACTCACCCTGAAACTTTGGGGGTGAATTTCCCATTCAGAGTAATCTGGTGCAAACTGATCCCTACAAGCCTTCTGTTGGGAAGTGTTCCTAGCGAAGGAAAACACCTGTGATGTGCTAGTGCTACAGAAAAGAAGGCCAAACAAATGCCTTTCTCCTCATGCGTGTGTCCTTTGTAAGGCTTGTGGTGAAACCCTACCTTACTCTTATACTGCTCTTTTGTTTCTTGTATTTGGGAATACTTTTGTTCTCTTTGGATGCAGATGAGCTCCCCCACAGGATGAAGCAAGTCTTTTCAGCCCTACTTTCCTGAGGCAACAAAGAAAAAGGGGAAAGTATTTATGGAAGGCAGCAAGAGCTGCTATGGTGTAGACTACATGGGAGGAAAGAAATCAAAGAATTTTCTTTGAAAAAAGCAAATCAAAGGTGGAAGTCATTGAAGCCGTAAAAATCAGAGCTGCACATTGGGTGATGACCATGGAATTATCAAGAACATCTCCACAAATGACATTCTCAGGAACTGGACTGAAGTGGCGCAAACAGATGTACCAAAAGAAATTGTGAGAGTGGAGTGGAAACCACCTGCACTAAATAAACTAAAACTAAACTTTGATGGGAGTTCCTTGTGAGAGTGCAGTGGAAACCACCTGAACTAAATAAACTATAACTAAACTTTGATGGGAGTTCCTTTGGCAACCCAGGAAGGGCAGGTATAGGGGGTGTGTTTACTGTGCTTAGAAATCATCAAGGCGAAGTTGTGGCACTATTCTCGAGACCAATAGGTATTGGTGACTCAATTCAGGCTGAAACTATGGCTCCCCTACAAGGCTTAAAGCTGGCTGAGTGGATTGGAGCAACAGATTTAGAAATTGAAGGAGATTCACTACTGGTCATTTCTTGGGCAAAGCAAATCACTTCAGCACCTTGGAAGCTCAAATTTATCTTTAGGGAAATTGACCTACTTGCAAGGAGGTTCAATTCTCAGTTTGGTTGGGTGAAAAGGACTGCAAATGGTTTGGCAGATACCCTAGCAAAACAGGGAGCAGATAGATCTGCTTTGTTCTGGGCAGTGCTGTAATTGTTTGCAGGTTGGGTCATTGCAGTGCTGATACCTATCTCTTGTACCTTAATATTATCTTTGAAATTAATAAAATTCTTATTTGCTGATAAAAAAAATGATTAACCAACTGCACCATATTTGAATTCATATTTAAGTTAGGGAGCTAGGTATGTGAACCAACAAAACAGTGAAAGACGTGTTTGTTCCATATCTTGCATTTGGGGTTTTGACTTTTAAAAGAACCACCAAAGCATGCAAAGCAACAGTTAACACCAAAACTTTATCATATTTATGTCAAATTTTGTGTTTATTTAGTTAAATAGAAATATAAGAAGTCAATTGTGTTTGGATTAAGGTTGTGTATAGCTGTCCCTCCACTTGGCGGGAGCCTCGTGCACTGGGCTCCCCAATTGAGTCTGGATTAAATTCATTTTCACCAATTATGTTCTTAAAAAAAAATCTAATAATTAATGCATCTCATCTTAAAGTGCAAGTTAGCTCAACATATGATTTGAGGAATTGGGGCATTAATAAATTTCAAACTTTGCATAGGGTGGATATATATATATATATACCTGAACAGCTATAAATGAATACATCGTGTGGTTAAGCTTCCAATGACCAAGTTCATGGGCAATAACTGCAACAACTTCCTCCTCGTTTTTGCACTGCAAAATTAACTTAGCCATGTGAGACTAAAATATGTGAATGTATGCATCTGTATGTAAGAAAAATATTACTTAAAAACCTCAATATAAGTTGTACTGAAATTCAAGGACAAAGTGATTAGGCACTAAATGACACTAAGGGCAAGGGAAAGGCCAAAAAGGAAGTGGATAGAAGAAATGTTTTTAACACATTGTTGACACAGATGGTCAAATCAACCAGTAAACCTGTTATCCCCTTAAAGCATGACAGGTGTGATTTAGTATCAGTAAAAGGTGGTTAAATTATAGCCAACTCAGTGCCATGACTGCCATCTTAATGCAGAACTTATAGCCTCATTTTCTTATCAGCAGGTAACCATAAACATAACTCTAAACAGCAATAGATATGATGTTCTCACAACAATTTCTGTCCCAGAGACAAGACCAGTCAGACGTTTCATAAATAAATAAATAAATAACTATACCATCCAACTTGCTAAGATCTTTTTTCAAAAAAGCACATATTGAATGAAAGGAGAAATTTGACAAGCAGCAGCATTGGTGGTGGAAGAAGGCAAGGAACATAAGTGGTGCAGGATCCAAGGAGTCAAGATTGGAATTCTTTGAATTGTTTACGTATGTTTGTATTTCTGGACAGCAAGGTTATTTTCTTCATTCTTGTATAGCCATAGTCTTATTACGTTTGAAGAACCAATTTAGGTAAGTTCCATAGCCAAACTCTTCAAGTCACATTCTTTCATTAGATAGATTACCAAAAAATTCTTTCATTAGATTCTCTTGAAGAGAGCATAAGCCATGGACTAGGTTTGAGTAACCCGCACACGGTGAGGTGAAGTTTGCAGGCCAGCATGGTGAAAGGGTACCCAGGACACATCGCCAACAACAGGAGTAGACCTATCTCAGCGTGTTCGGTAGCACCACCGAAAAGCTACCAAGAAGACGATCGAGCCTTGAGGTAAAGATGATACATGGGGCGGACCTCCGCGAAGCACACATCCAATTTCTTCGAGGGCCCTTCTCACACAATTCAACGGCATAGCCATTGCGCGGTTTGAGTAACCTCAACACAGGGGGTGAAGTCCAAGCAAGCCACCAACATAGGCAAGACCCGGGTTGGCCAGGAGAGCCCTGGAACTGGTAGAGCACACATCCAATTTTTTCGAGGGCCCTTCTCACACAATTCAACGGCATAGCCATTGCGCGGTTTGAGTAACCTCAACACAGGGGGTGAAGTCCAGGCAAGCCGGCATGGTGAAATGGTTTTGTCCCCATAAATGGACACCAACATAGGCAAGACCCGGGTTGGCCAGGAGAGCCCTGGAACTGGTAGAGCACACATCCAATTTTTTCGAGGGCCCTTCTCACACAATTCAACGGCATAGCCATTGCGCGGTTTGAGTAACCTCAACACAGGGGGTGAAGTCCAGGCAAGCCGGCATGGTGAAATGGTTTTGTCCCCATAAATGGACACCAACATAGGCAAGACCCGGGTTGGCCAGGAGAGCCCTGGAACTAGTAGACAAGTGGATGGCGCGGGACACAAACGCCCATTCACGAGAAGAGCCATTGTCGATGACGACAATGGATTGAGTGGAGGAGCCTATTATGGTCTGACACAGGCTTAGCCTTGCCTACACTTGGCAGGCTTACGTTAAGGGACAACACCGTCATTTTCGCCTGTAAGATTTTTGGGAGAATTGATGTTATCTTCAAGCAAACCACCAAAAGCTTAACGTACTCTTTGAGGGGAGGTAGGTAGTCGAGTGAGTCATAAGCGTGTAAAGGTTAAGCACGAGATCCCCTCGACACTATACTGTGTGCTTGTGCTTACCACTGATTAATGCAATACAAGTTGCCTTTTGTCTAATTTGTATGCCTTCTTGTTGCCTTTTGTGTGTTGTTGCTTGCATTTGTAGGCTTTCTCGACCCCATCGAGCGTCGCACAGGGCCTCGTCGATTAGCCCCGTGAAACACTTTTCTCTAAATCACCTACTCTAGGTTGGATTCAAAATCCAATCTAATCCAGCCCTCCCCAATCTTTTAACCCCATAAGCCTATCCCATATAAAACTGTTTTTTTCCTTGATTAGTAACAAAAAAATTATTCATGGAAGAGATATATAAACAAATGGCTACATCCCTGAGATTGGGATGGCTAATACAGAAACTGTATACATCAAAGATTCCCTTCCCCACCCCAAAATAAACCCTTTCTATTCACCCTTTGTTTTGCCAATGCATCTGTCAATCCATTAGCCAATCTGTGGATCCATGTTACATTAATGCTTTTGTTTCTCTTGAGCTTTCCCTCCCCCCGCTTTCAACTTGCAAGTTTGTGTAGTTTAGATCTTTAGCAATATTGTTTCCATTATAATTTCAATATTGGACCCCCCACCCCTTCAACCTTGTTGAATTCCAATAACCTACTGATCCAGAGAAGAAAGCAATATTGTTTCCATTATAATTTCTACAAAGCCCCTCCTATTCCTGATTTCCTATAGGTTAGTCCTACTGTATCCATCAAAGTTAAGCTTAATCAAGTGTTTTGGTAGTCATTTCAACTGGGAGAAGACAACATCACTAAAGACTAAGAAGTTGGCAATCCATTGCAACCACAGATGACATCATCGATGGTGAAGTCAATGAAGAGCCATGTTATTTGAGCCAATGGATGATTTTCAATGCATTATTTTCTACGATTGTAGTTTTAGTTTTATCTTGGATTTTGTCTGTAGACAATCTCCCATTCCTTTCACCACATATAGACCACAATACTTCTGCCCTGGTGCATCTCCACATTACTTTGCCTCTGAAGAAATTTGATTAAAAGAGGTTAACCAATTCCATCGGAGGAATCACCTGCATAAAAAAAAAAAAGTTAAAAAAATGAAATGCAAAAAAGAATGTTGGCAGCAAAAGAAAGAGATTAGCAAATGGAAGGTGCTCTCTCCACTAGCATAACAAAGGGGATAAACATGAGTAGATAAGCACTAACTAGGTATTGATGTTCATATGGTACACTTCCCAACAAAAGGCTCTGACTTTGAGAAGGATCAGTTCACTCCAGATTTCTTTAACAGTAAAGGAGTAGGGACTGACAAGGTGAAGTAAGAGATCAAAAAAACTGAAGCACAAGAAAATTTTCCTTTAGGAACCAAATTAGAAAGGTCAAGGCAAACCCCATCTAGAGAATTAACCAACTCAAGAGCCAAAGGAATTTCAAAATCCCACAACCCTTCCTAACCAAATCTATCCAACCATTCACCTATCTAAATCTGATTCCTAGCTCTACAAGCCCATCTTGAGTGAACTACCCTATATCAATTTGGCAGCAAAGCACCTGTTCGCAATCCATCCTAAATCACTTTGGTATCAAACCAGTAAGTCCTACATCGCTAAGGATTCTCCAAGGCACATGTTCAGGTTGCTCAAAATTTCTTCTTTTTCTCCATCTTTTCTTAATCGGTATACTTTTCTCTATCTTGAATTCTTTTGTACCTCAACACTTTCTAATTTCCTCTTCAATATCTTCTGTGGGCTGCATTTTATGCCTTCTTTTGTTCCACAAATTACCTAAATCTAACTCAAACAAAAAAAAAAAAACTGTCTAAGTTTTTTTTCCAAACACATAAATGAAGTCATATCCTCTCAGCCCTACTTCCTACCTTCTAACAGAGAACAAACCCAATCACATGATATGGTAATCATGTTTTGATAAATGATAGAAGCAACATAAACAGAATAATGATTGAAAAAGTAAGGCTTTTCAAATTCCTATTCAATCCAACCAACAAAAATAAAATAGATAGAAAAAGAAGGGGTAGCAAGACAGGATTTAAGAAGGGGAGAATATCGTCTGGGGTGATAATGTAACTAGATGGGGAAGGGGATATTAATGGAGAAGGCTTTGTTTGTAAGACTTCCTCTAGCTATATTTGATCTTATCTTTTCACTTGCATTCTTACTCTGCAACTATGATGCACATCTTGTACATTGCTTTTTATCAACAAAATTCCTTTGGTTACCGATCAAAGTAAGAAGTGCCTCAAACCTGCTGAATCAATGTGTCATAAAGGACGATGCGCTTGTTATTAAAAAACCCATACATGTAAGCCTGCCAGGCATCAATACATGAGTTAGACAGAAAGAATAATATTAAAAAAACTGTAGATACAAAGGAAAAATTAACAAGAAGCACATATGTACATTTGCAGCTATTAGAGTGCAACAAAGGAAAAGGAATTAATAGCAGTCAGCAAGAATTTCATTGAAATAGCCCACCATCCAAAAAGCTCGATAACAGGGGAAGCAAAGAATAAATGAAATGGAGATAACAAAATTGGTCTATCTTAGAATATTACAAAGAAAATCCCGGGTCTGGTGTTTCCCAAACTAAAAATTCCCTGTCTACAGTCTACCCAACTTAGTAAAGCATCTGCCAAAGCATTTGCAGACCAAGGAACCATCTTAATGAGCTGTTCAGATTGTGTCAAAGATTCCGAACTTGCCTAACAAAACTTCTATATGTCTAAGGTATTTCCTCATGTCTCTAATAGGACTTGGCAATCTCCTTCAATGATAATTTCTGTCGACCCCTTTGTGATTGCAAGTTTCATCCCTTGTAACAAAAGATAATATTTCAGCCTTCCAAGAATTGCCAAAACCAATTAGACTTGAAATGCTAAGCAGGATATTACCACTGTGATCCCTAACTAGTCCTCCAATGCCCGCCATTCCAGGTTGCCCAAGCTGCTGCCATTGAAATTTGGTTTTAAGTTCCCTTGTTAGGAGCCTTCCACTCCTCTTGGCTACTTAGGGCTCTAGTCTGGAACGCTGCCACTATTTTGTCAACCTCTTAACAGCTCAAGTAACACTTTTGAATTCCTCACATGCCAATACCCAGTGGACAATTTTCACCATCAGCAAATTAATGAATGAGCTGATGCCCATATCTTTATCTTTTTTTTTTATAAGTGTGTATGCCCATATCTTTATCTTCAAATATACTTGCATTCCTTTCTCCCAAAATGCTCCAAAGGATGGCAGCTCTAGTGCAGTGCCATAATATGTTTTGTCTCTATATGGCATATCGACGGCATGTGCAGACTAAGTGCAATAAAGAAACTCCTGGACCCTCCTCTCTGAATTGCATATATTTTGAGCAAATGTATAAACTGAAACCATTAATTTTGTAATTAAACCGTACGAAGCATTTGGCATCATATGGTTTCAACTGAGCAGTTAAGAAATCCAGATCTATCTGTGCAAAAGGTACAATTTTTGGAAGGATTAACCCCCACTGTTTTCCTTTAGCCATTCAAACTAGTGTCGCTACTGATCAAAAAATAATAATAATAATAATCTAGTATGTCTGTGCAACCACCAGCATTGAAGCCTTTTTTGGATAGCTAACACTAAAAAAAAATTCATTAAAGTGATAAAGAAGATACTTACTATCCACAACTGTAGGCAGTAGGGTACCAAAAACAAAGAGCACATTGCTGATTACCTTAACTTCTTACAGAGTTATGTCTTGTACTTTTTTTGAAAAAGGTAATTTATTGTATTAACTATCACACAGTTATGCCTTGTACCTTGAAGGTTAACTCCTGCTTTAGTTTCAGAGAATCTCTCCCTCTTTGAACTTGAAGGTTAACTCCTGTTTCAAACCAGTTTTCCTTCAATGTGTTTCAAGTGGAGACCATGGAGAATTTAATTAATAGACTGGATTTAGGACCAATAGTTCTGGTACCAATTGATGTAGGACTTGACTGAGCAAATGATGAGTCTAGGACTAGGAGAATTAGGATGGATTAATAGGTGATTCAGAACTAAGAAATAAAAAACGGTTAAGTTAGAAAGGGTGACTTAATTGCAAGAATTGCACGTTTGTTCAAGGACAGTAAAAAAACTTCAAAATAGAGAAAATAGGTCTAGGATAGGAATTTTTAAAGAAATTTCATAGGTAAGGCTAGAATGGATAGTTGTAAAGGGCAACCAAGTTTGGTTAAGTTCAAAGTATATCTTGCACGTCATCATCATCTAAGCCTTATCCCTGACTTAAAGCATGTCTTGCACAAAAGGACAAAAAATCTATAATATGAAAATTTTAAAAATTATGGAATCTAGGGTTCTAAATGGACTTTTGAGATGATATTTGAAGGGATGGAAAGTTAATGAAGATCTATGGGAGGTGTCCAAATATGGGAGCAGTTGAAAAAGGTTTGGTACAAAAAGAAGAAAACGGATGCAATGGGAAAATTTTGTGTTTTGATGAAAAAAAAACACCTAGACCATTCCAGTCCTTTGAGAATGTTGAATAAAACTTTTAATGAAGAACTTATGGCTGTTAATACTTCATAGCCATAATGGCTTCTTGAATGATTAAAAAAATAAATAAATGGGCAAAGCAAAGAGGGGGGAAAACAGAATCACTCAACAGAGTACCTAAAATCACTCTAGATCATAGGAATGACTCTGCACATAGCAAAAGTTGTAAGATCTCAAATAAATTTTATTAATTCATCCTTCACACTTTGCACTTTACACATGTATAAATACTATAAGAAAATATAATAATTCCTATAAACTTAACTAATGACTTCTATATTTTAAAAACAAATAAATTATAACTAGACAAATCAAATTACTAGATCAGACCCACAGACATGTTGAGTAACCAAAATACCCCTTCTGTCTAAAATTTCAAAAACATATAAAAATCCAGAATAGTTCAATTTTGACTCTTCCACTCTACATCAACTGGCCAACCATGGAATAGGTCCTTTCTCTTTCTCTTTCTCTTTCTCTTTCTCTTTCTCTTTCTCTTTCTCTTTCTTTTTCTCTTTCTCTTTCTCTTTCTCTTTCTCTTTCACTTTTCTTTCTTTCTTCTTTAATTTTTGTGCATCTACATCACCTCTTTTTACAAAGATAAGTTATATACAATAAATATTCTAATAGTCTCTGGGCCATTTAAGAATTATGACAACGATATTAGAAAGATAGGAAATTTGTAAAATGCAGAACAAATAGCTAAAAGTGGATTAATTGATAGCTCTATGTCAAAACATAAAATCTAAAAGAAGCAACTTGTGCAAAATAAAACACATCAAAGAAAGTTAAGTCCTTACATTGCTATGGCTTGACCTCATTGATCCATCAACAACAAAAAGCTTCTTTAAAGGGAACTTGAGTGAGGAAGCAAGAGTCTCAATTCTCTGACGAAGTTCTCCATCAGGAAGCTATCAGAGCACCAGTAGTCCAACAGAAAAATGGAAAAGGCACCATTAATCAAGTAAAAATACACCTAAATAGATCTCTTTTTCAGGAGAAATGTATGAAATGTAAAAGAATATCTTAATTAAACAGCTATATATGCAATTCAAAGTCATCAGTTATCTATATAAGACAAAAAAGTAAACAAAAATGCTTACAGGTGTAAACTTGTTGAAAAGTGGAGCAATTAAAACAGGGTATAGTGTCATCATCACAAGGGACAAAACAAACATAAAACCCCAAAGATAGATAGCCAAGTATGGACCTCCTTTCTGCATCAATGAAGTTGAAATTAGAATAATTCAATCACAGGAGCATCAATCTATACAGATAGTGATGTAGAAGATGAATTACAGAAAAAGAAATAAACAAATATATCTAAAAGGCATTTGGCTGATCTCTTCCTAGTGTTAAATGTGCTAAGTGCATAAACCACCAACATGACCACTGTTTTCTGTAATATATGAAATGCACAAGACACCGTGATTAATGCCACTAAAATACATTTTCGTCATGTACTTTTCACATCAACATGTGAAACAATATAGATCAAAATGCTCACCATTTAGAAAATGCAATTTATTTTGCCCCCTACCATGAACACAACCACAAAATTCCATGCCTTAGTAGGCCTAAGAATGTAGCTCCTGACAATCTCAATAAAATAAACAGCATTTCCAGAGAGATTATGCTCATGCATTTTCCTAGAACTACACAACCCCAGGGTATTTTCTTTAACTAAATGTAATCAAATGAATCTCTCTGACTCTCCAGTAAACAGTATTACCTGAACTATTACAATGATTGTAGCCACAATTGGTGGTCCAAGTATAATAGAAAGGCAGATTCCTTTGAACATGTCCTTAAAGAATAGCCAAATTGTTTGCTGCAAAACAAGAAAAAAGATGGAAAAAAACTTAGAAACACCAAAAATCAAATTGACAAACAAGTCAGGAAACTAGACATTGCAGAAGAGCCTCCCAAAGGAAATCCAATGTGCAAGGGAAGCATGACAAGAACATGGCTGACATGAAAAAGATCAAAGTACGGACTTTATTGAAACCATGCCGAGATTCAATCACAAATGTCGAGTACAGAGAGAACGGCAAGTCAGTAATCTGCATAAGAAAATTATAAAAAAGTCACTATTCAAACTATTAAGAATAACATAGGATCATTGGCTTATTATATAGAGGTGTTATGGAATTCAACAAACCACAAACAAGTGGTGGTGGTGGTAGTAGTAGTAGTAGTAGTAGTAGTAGAGGTAGTACTGACTTAGGAGTTTAATTCTTTACAATATAATCTTGTATTGTATATATGCACATAAATAGGTTTGCACAACCATACATATGCCTGTGCAAACAAACAAGGTAGCACCTGGCTAAACAAAAGGAAAACAATTGTTTTCTGTTCTCATGATGAAGCATTTTATAAATTTCATGTATTAACTTTAATAGAAGGCGGTTGACTATTTTGTATATCATGGTGAAGCCTCTCAGTAACCCAAGTAGTGGTTTATATCTCTGTAAATTATACAAATATTGTTCTTTTAGTGACTATTCTGTCCCCAAAACTGAACAAATAAGCAATCTTATTTTCAGAGAAATTATGGACGCTTATATCCAAACCTGTGACCAAATCATAACACCGGACAGAAAGGCAAGAGTGTGAAGTATTTCATTCTCAGGATTGAGGTTGGTGTAGATAAGAAATTCTGCTGATCTCTATAGACAAAAGAAGCAGATGAAGTTAGTACGATCCGTCACCAAAATAGAAGAAAAAGAAGTTGCTGCGACAAATCCTAACCAACTCACCTTCCAAAACCACGGCAATATACCAAAAAACAAAATTGCGGTGTCCATTAGTATGGTTACAGCCTCATGAATAAAGTGAAAATGGCTGAAAGAGATAAGAAATAGACCAGTAGAAACAGAAGCCAGTTAAACGTGTTGAAGCATATCAAATCATGAAAAAAAAAGAACTTCAAAGAAACAACTTCCACGTGTAAGAGAAGCGATGGAGGAGGACGAAATACCTTTTATCAAGGCTATAAGCTCGGGACTTTTCAAATTTTTCTTGACTGATCACACCTTCCAAAGGTTTAGGAAGGTTAGGCAGCTTCAGAGAACGATGTTGCCGTATATCCAAGTATGTTTCGAAAATATACATCAAAATCATAAAACCTGCAAAAAGAAATCTCCGATTACTAAGAAACTACAAGGCTCAGAAGAAAGTCCAACCACATACTGAAGGTTCGAGAGAAAGACTCACGGCAGGCAGGTATCAGCAGAAAGAATAAAAAAGGGATAATTTTTTTTAGCAGAGAACCAAAGTGAGGAAAAATAAAAAAGATGAGAGAGAATCCCAATCTGGAGAGAGGAAATGGGAGTGATGAGATTCGGCATATTCAAAAGCAAATTTTGAAGGTGTTTCTGGCCCAACTATGTCACCAAGACAGAAAGCCATAGGCGTATTTCATCTACACCAGCGGCAAAAACTGGCATGAGAATTACTAAGAAAGAAAACCCCAATAGAGAACCAACAAGGTATGACCTGGATATCCATATCAAACAACTGAACCATACTAAGCTCAATAACACAAAGAGCAATCCGAAGAGAAGATCGAAGAGACCAAATGAACCAAGAAAATTACCAATAAAGAATAAAAACAAGAATCAGAAGCACGCTTCAATCATTTTCAGAGAAGAACCAAGGCTCTAACAAAAAGAACAATAAAGGGAAGGGAAAGAAAAGCAAAGAAGCAGAATGGCGAGAAACCCTACCTACGACAGATTCCATGTACGGAAACGCCATTGCAGCAGATTCAGAAGTGCAGAGCGCGCAAGCTAACAAGAGAGAGAGAGAAGGGGGAAACTATGAAGAGTCGAAGAGATGCTTTTGTTTGCGCGTTGGTTGAAAACTGGGAATTTTAGAAATGCGTAGCACACCAGCGCATGTTAGTTTAAGGCAGATGCAATCGGTTATCCATTTTGCTTAAGTACGAAGATAATAAAAAGATGAACCATCTTTGGATTTCCACACTGCCGTACTTACTACTTCAACAGTTAAACCCGAATTTATATACTGGGCTATCGGCTATCCATCGTTTAGTTTTACTTCTTTCTCACATTTTTACTGCTCGAAAAATACCACAAATTGAGACAGACAGACTCTTTCGATGCCATCCTCGTCTACAAATCAGACACAAAACCTACCCTTCCAAACCTGTCCTCTCTCATTTTTCCTGGAAATTGCTCAAATTTCGCCTCCATGTATTTTGTAAATTGTAAATTGGCTGAAATAGAGTTTCAAAATTTTTACAAAGTAAGCAAAAATTAATTGTAAATTTCGCCTCGAGGGTAGAGTTTCAAATCCATACGAAATGAACATCCGCATGTATTTTAATACATACGAATTCAGCACATCCCAACATCCAGAATTGAAATTCCAATTCTTATTACCAAAATTCCGGTATCATACATTTTCGGCATGATAGGTTTACCCTTTATTTAATCAGCCGGTATAGATAAGTTCGTTTAAAAGATCATCCAAAAGCAAGGTTTTAAAAAACTATCCAGAACCGGAACCGTTTTGGACACCGGTTAGAATAGATGGTCCTTCTAATAAAAAAATTAAAATAAAAAATAACCAAAAATTGTTGATCGGGTCAGAGATTCGACTATCTAGTTATAAAGATGGCCTGTTCCAACGAAAAATAATTTAAATGATTTAAATAAAAAACACCCAAAAGCTTGAGCAGGTCAAATGGGTCAACGGCTCGACCGCCTAAGTCAGTAGGTCACTGACCAATTCAATAATTTTTTGCCAAGGACCGGGTTTGAGGTAAAATGGAACTGGTTGCTTGGACGGTTCCTAAGCAGAACGGTTCAATTGCCTAGGTCAGTTACAGCTCGAAAACATCTACTTTAAAAAGCACAAATGGCCTCAAGAATATTTCTGATTTTTTTTTAGGGGAAAATTTGCCCCTCTATATTTAAATTTATAAAAATGAGGGCAGATAGGGTAATAGGTTATTAGTATTAAATGAATTGAAAAGAGGTAACTTTAAGATATTCAATTCCCTCTCTTTAAATCCAACATTTAAATTATTAACTTGCATCCATGTTCATTGAATCATATATTTAAGTCATTTTTTTTATTTTCATCATTAAGTTCTATTGATTAAATCCATACTTAATAAATTAATAATTCTAATAACATAAAAGCTTATATTTTTAAAATTTACCTAAAAATTAGTGTTTTCATCTAGGTGGTAGTAAGAAAATAAACCATTTTGGGTCAAATGGGTCAATCCATGTTGTCACGATTAAATGATAAAATGAAAAAAATAGAAATTAAAAAAAAAATGGAAACATTTTTAACATACATATTAAATAATAACAAGTACGATAAAAAATAAATGTTTTTATTAATGATGGAAATGGGATGTAAAATTTAAAACCAATTGGAAATAAAAATATTTTCCTATATTCTCTCATTAAATTCTATATTTAAGGTATATTTTTTCTCATCATTAAAGTCTTGTAATCAAAACCATAATATTAATTTTAATAGTATAAAAATAGATATTTTGAAAAGTAATTTGAAAACAAAACCATTTTCTTCCCTCCCGGTGGTGGGCAAGCAATTCGACCATTTAGGGTCAAATTGATTAATAAATAATATCATAATTAAATAATAAAAAATTAAAATAAATAAGTATAAAATATAAAAAGTATTTTTATTAATGATGAAAATGAAATGTCAAATTTAAAATCTACCTAGAAATGAAGTGATGTCATAATCAAATAATAATTTTTTTATAAATAGAAAATACAAAGAATCACAAAAATAAAAAATAGATAAAATTTTGGCTACGTATCTAATGTTATATATTTATATAAAATAAAATATTTGGTACAACCCTAATATTATGCATTCATTGTATTGAACAAAAATAAGTATTATACATAAGGAATAATTTTATCAATGACAAAAATGTAATGCAAAATTTAATCTCAACTTAGAAATCAAACTATTTTTCTTTTTGGGTAGTGGGTTAGTGGTTTGGGTTAAATGATTTCATAGACAAACAAAAATTAAATGTGATAAGTAAAAATTATTTATATAATTTAAAGGAAAAATTATAGTCAAAGCCGATTATACATTTAAAATTAGGTTGTGGATTGGTCCAGGAACCAACAAAACTCTAACAACTGGCTCTACATTTCAAATTATAAAAAACCCCATCATGTTATCGGAGGCTTATGTGGTTATTAACAACATGGGACTCTTAATCCATGTTGGACACAGTAAAAAGCCTATATTGAAAATAGGTTTTTAGTTTCTCTCCCACTCCCTTTGTCTCTCGATCTCTTTCCCTTTTATCTCACTCTCACAATCATCTCTCTATCTCCTACTTCCTTAATCTTTCCCACTCTCTTAGTTTCGGTCTGTAGCTAAATCAAAACCTTTGTTTCTCTCCCTCTCTCTCCCTCTCTCCCTCTCTCTCTCTCTCTCTCTCTCTCTCTATCTATCTATCTATCTATCTATCTATCTATCTATCTATCTATATCTCTATCTATCTATCTATCTACCTATCTTTCTTTCTCCCTCAATCTTTCTCATTCTTCTCCCACATTCTCCCTTTCGGTCAGTATCTCCTTCTCTCTTAATCTCTATTGGTCTCCCTCAGTCTTTCTCTCATTCCCTTTCTTGTTTTTTTTTTATTTTTTCTTACAAACTTTTACAATATTAATCAGATCATATAAAAGAACTAAAGGGATCAACCACTTGTACAATCAAGTTATAAATTTCTATCAAGTTGGTGTAAATTTCATAACCAAGAGTTCATTGTGACTTTTTATCAAATTGTTGAAATAATTTTTGAACCATACCAAGTTGGTCACATGATCTTTTATACGGTATGACTAATACCATATAAGTGTGTAAGAAAAAAAAAAGAACGAGAAAGGGAGCGCAAGAAAAACTAAGGAAGAACGATAAAAATTAAGGGAGAACAAGAGATCGACCGAGAAAGAGAATGAGAGAGATTGAGGAATAACGATAGGTAGAGAGAGAATAAAAAATTGATAGAAAAAACATAAATATAGAAACTAAAAACCATTTTTATTTATTTTCAAATCACACAATCATTGAACTAAGAGAGACGATTATGAGAGTGAAAGAGTGGAAGGGAGATTAAGAGAGAGAGAGAGAGAGAGAGTGAAACTAAAAACCTTTTTTTCCAATCACCCAACAGTAAAGGGCAATTTCAATATAAGCTTTTTGTTGTGTCCAACATGGATTAAGAGTCTCATGTTGGCAACAACCACATAAACTTCCAATGACATGGCAGGGTTTTTTATCATTTGAAATGTAGAGTCGATTATCAGAGTTTTGTAGGTTTCTGGACCAACCTTTAGCCTAATTTTAAATGTACAACCATCTCTGACTATATCTTTCCCTAATTTAAAACTAATCCAAAAGTAAAGCTATTTTCTTATCTAGATGGTGGGTCAATGAACTTTTCAAAAAAAAAAACCCATGCTATCATAATTGAATAATAAATATAAAAAAATATATAACACAAAAAAAATGAAAATGTACAGAATTTTGTCAAAAACATCTGAGAACATTTCTAATGTTATATATTCATCATATTAAATAAAAATATTTGTTAAAATAAAAGTTATTTTATATTTATGATAGAAATGAAATACAACAACAACAACAACAACAACAACAACAACAACAACAACAACAACAACAACAACATAATAATAATAATAATAATAATAATAATTGTTATTTGCTACAAGCATTTAAGTTTATTTTTAATTATGTTGTTACTTTTGTTAATTTTCAATTTGTGTCTTAACTATGATATATCTAAAATTCAAGTAATTAATATGAAGAAAGAAATTCTCACGTACAACGCATGTGCTTAATTATTAATTATCCAAAAATGTACAAATGCATCTCTCTCTCTCTCTCATAAGGTATTCAAGAAATCCAATCCAAATCGCATCTTATTTTCCTTGTTGGGCTTTCTCATGGCCCAAAACTCATCCAGATATGTAATATGTTTCGTAATAGGGCTACATGTACCAGAATTCTAGTCAGGTTCATCCAATACCTAACTTCAATCGTGGAGAGTTGACTGTGAGTGGATGACTAGCACCCTCAATGCCCTAGTGAGTGTCTTTTTGTTATTAAAGATATATAATCGAACTAAAATTTGAAATTCTCTTTTATAAGCAGGTGAGCCGGGGATGCAAACTGTGTTGCACACTAGACAACAAAATGGGGTACAGTCGAGTCCAGGGAACTGTGCTGCACATAACCACATAACCCACCAAAGTGGTATGTATGTAGCTATCTTTTCCGAGGATGATCACTCGGATGGGCTTGTTATCTTTAGTCTTAGTGGTTGTTTAGTTGGTTCTTGTTTTTTCTTTTTGGTTGTTGCTACTTGTGTTTTTCAATTTCAGTTTTGATGAATTTTCTTTCTTACAGCATAGATTTTTTGGCAAAACCTATGGTGCATCCAAGGTTCAAAATATCGATATGCCCGATACGCCCTTTGGACGAATCGATAGCATTTTTTATTTTTATTTTTTTTTTGAAACCGGTTCAGGGGGCAGTTTAGGGCTCCTCCACCCCCTAAACTGGTCAGACACCCAATACACCCACTGTAGGGGGCATATCGGAGGGGTCCCAAAATGATATGTATCGACCGATACGTGTCGATACTTTGAACCTTGGGTGCATCCGTTGCATTGTACAACAATAGACATGATTGATCGAATGCAATGATAATTACACCTTATTAAACATAAAGGCATACTTTATGTGTCATTAACTATTCAAAAGTAAGCGGACTTTAACGTGATTGATAGTGGATTGGATCTTCTACCCACAAAGTATTCCTACATTTCTACACACATAACACCACTGTCATGTATTGGGAACATCTTTCATAAATGACAAGAGAGATATTCTCAATGCACAGCTATAAAGTACTATGGATAGAGATGTGGGAACAGATTGTGGGTAATAGATCCAAACTGCAGCCAATATTAATGAATACACTATGCACCTTAATTGAACTCTAGATTTTTTTCATGGAATTGGTGACATGGCAGACAAACTTATCATGTTAAAAATTAAATAAGCATTTTTCTATAACATTTTAATCAGTGTTGGACCAGGTGGTCCACATTTTTTAATGGGGAAAATCTATGATACTGGAAAGACATGATACCAAAAGAGCTTTGACCAATCAAAACCCTCCCATGAATTTTGATACATACTACCTGATTTTTTTAGGGTAAATTACAAAGACCCCCTTGTACTATGGGGTCTGTGACAAAGGCCCCCTTATGCTTTGTTTTGCGACAAAGACCCCCCCCCTTGTACTATGACCGTGAGACAAAGACCGCCTTTTGTTAGCCTTCCCTCCAAAAAGGCCATCGCAATATTTTTTAATCCCCATATTACCCTCAAACAAGAAAAACACAGTTCATCTTCCCCGACCTCATGATACACTAACAATGGCGACGGTAATCTCCTCTACCTCATATTCATTCACATTTCTCTCTTCTTTCCCAACTCCCATGAAAACTTTAATCTACGATAACTTCAACCCCATTTGTGCAGGATTACTAAAGAGGTAGCACCCATCTTCTAGACTTTCTATTTGCATTTTTGGCACTGCAACTCATTTGACTTCATCGAGAGTCTCAGTCTCATCTAGACCTGTTCATGGGTCGGGTCGGGCTCTGGGCTTTTACTCTTCATTAATGGAAATATGTTAGGCCCGAGCCCGAGCCTGGCCCGACCAACGGGCCTACAACTTGGGCCCGAGCCCGGCCCTGATAAAAAGCCCGAAGCCCGAGCCCGACCTAATAAAAAATTAGAAATTTTCCCTATTCAATAATCAATATAAATTAGAATTTATTTACATTAAAAAAAGAATATAAATTCAAAATTTATTTACATTAAAAAAAGAATATAAAGAAGGGAAAAGGATGTGGAGAAGAAGGGTTCGACTGGAAAAATAAGGGAAAGAGGTGAAAAAAAGAGGGGTATTCGACTAGAGTTTTTAGGTTTAATTATAGGTCGGGCCGGCCCGTCGGGCCACCCGTCCCATGAATAGGTCTAGTCTCATCTGTCGTCCTCTTCCATCTCGGCCAAGCACACAGAGTTGGTATCTCTACTCACCACAATGGAGTGCACGCCATTCAATGACAACGCCATGATGGGTGATTTTGTTCAATCAGGAGGGATCGATGTGCTTAGTCACATTATTGTCCAGATTCTAGTCGACAACTCTGATTTCATGGCATTCCGAGCTTGCGAGGAAGCTCTGGGTGTTTTTGCACCAACTCCCATGATTTGATGAATCATTGATTCAATTGTTATCAAAGACGGAATGCATGAAATCCATGGCGATTATGCTTCAACGAAGTAACAACAATCATTTTGTAAACGCCTCTACCTCTTTCCACTCGACCCTCTTGTTACTCTTCTTCGTCCTTGTCCAAGATTATTGCAGACGATGAAAATCTAAACCCCAATTCGTTTGAAGAGGACAAATTCATTTTTAAGCTCAAGAGATCTCAGGTATTCGAGTAGAGGAAGTCGTGATCTCTCTGAGGAAGGTAACGAGAACTCAAGAAGAAATTAGGGCTACCCTCTGTACGCATCGATTACTATCAGCCCTGCGACATCACCTGGTATCATGATATTCTACTATTCAGATAAACGCGATGGCAGCATTGGTGAATCTATCCTTGGAGAAGATCAACAAGGTGAAGATCATAAGGTCATACAGGGGTTGTACTACCATTGATCTATGTACTAAAAGGTGGATTTGCCGAGGGGCAAGAACATGTAGTTGGTGCCCTCTTCAGCTTGGTGCTTGACGATGACAACAAAATGGCAATAGGGGTTTTAGGGGCACTGCCATCGTTTCTGCACCTGCTCCGTCCGAGAGCGAAGAATATCGTGAAAATGGGTTCAATCCCGACGCTGTCAAGAGGAAGGGGAAGAAGAGATATCATAGGAGAGAGAGAGAGAGAGAGATAGAGAGAACTGTGAAGGAATTTGAGGTAGAGGAGATTACCATCGCTGTTGTTAGTGTATTGTGAGGTCGAGGAAGATGAACAGTATTTTTCTCGTTGGAAGATAATATGATGATTAAAAAATATTGCAACAGCCTTTTTGGATGGAAGGCTAACGGAAAGGAGTCTTTGTCTCACGGTCATAGTAAAGGGGGGTCTTTGTCGCAAAACAAAGTATAGGGGGGTCTTTGTCACAGACCCCATAGTACAGGGGGGTCTTTGTAATTTACCTTTTTTTTTTTTTATAAATGTAAACTTTTATTTAAACAAACAAACACAAACAACAGGAGACAACACAAACAAACTAACAAAACAAAGAAACAACTCCAATACCCAAACAGACCTACTCTAAAATCTAAATCCTTGCTCAAGAAAACTTGCAACCAAATTGGCAGTTGCCATAAAGACTTATTTGTTTGGGAGTATAAGTTGATAAACTTTTCCATGTTCTTTTAATAGTGAAGTGTGGGTCTCATGGAAACATTTTCATAAGTTTTTGACAACTTACCTGAAAAATTTTATCCACCTAAGAGGTGGATAAGTTATTTATCCATAGAGGGGAGAAATTGACTAAACTGTGCAAGATTAAAATGTTCCTGCCCAAAAAAAAATAAAATCCTATCTGTTCATATACCCACCTGACAAAAGAACACGAGTCAGGTAACACTTATTCGAATAAATGCATTTACCCAACTAAATAACTTAGCACCAAACGAATAGGGCCGAAGTATTAACCAAACCCATAACACCCTTCAAGGCAAGTTGATTGGTTACCACTTACCTATTGATTGGTAAAGGGGTTTTATGGTATCAGGTCTTTCCGGTATCATAGTCAAAACCTTTTTAGCGATTAACCAATGCAGCCTATAGGTTTTCTCTCATTATCATGTCTGTTTGATAATTGGGCCAAACCAAAATAGTGGCGGTTTCTGTTCAACCCGGTCGGCCATCCACTATTTCTGTCTAATTTTCAAAACATAGTTTATTATTTTTAGGATAAACTAACTGGCATCGCTTTTTTTTTTGTTTCTTTTGCTTTTTGTTTTTTTGGTTTGCTGCATAAGTAATCATGAGCCGGTATACATACATTGTATGTAATCCCAGGGCACCGATTACATCTCACAAATTGCAAGCTCGGCCTCATTTGATCAACGAATTCAACATAGACAAAAGTACACACTTATCCAAGAATTACGACATTTAACATGAAATTGGAATTTGGTTTGGTGAAATCCAATTTAACCAATACAGTCTCTCTCTCTCTCTCACACACACACACACATTGCTGAGTCGACTCTTTTCCAGTATTCCTTGCTAATGTCATCATAAAACTGGTAATAGTTCTTTTAGAAACTTGGGACTCAAACCTCAGGAGGCAAGTGCATTTAAACATTGCATCAAAATGTTGGCTGAGTGTGTACAGCAGCGACAAAATGAGGTTCTTTAGGAAGTTTTTCACCTTGTACCATGTCAGCTCCTTCACAAGCAAAGTGCTCTATGGCTAAACAAAACGGAATGGTTTTCGCAGGCAAAGTTGCTCTATGGTCCCTTGAGATGGACCAGATGATGGATGCAATTTGATCTCATAAAGCTTTGGCCATAGTTTTCCTGTAACTATCAAATGAACGTGGGTAAGATACTAGGATAGAAGTGAGTAAAAGTAATATTGGCAAAACAACAGTGTCAATTGTAGTTGGGGATAAAAGTGGCAGCCTTTGTCCCAAAACATCCAAAGAAACCACTACCTCCAATTGTTCCCTCTATTTCCCAAGTTCAGGTCTCAATGTTCCAAGGCAATTAATGATATGGATGCGGCTTGATGTATACATAACCTAAACCAGTTTGACCTTACTTGACCAACCTAGTAAATTAATTGAATAACCTGCCTAACTTGCTATTTCTTGGTGTTAGCAGTAAGCCAATGAGGACTGGGTTAGGAACCATCCTTCAGTAGTACTCCTATGAGAGCTAGACCTTGCCATCCTGTATGCATGTATTTTGGGGTGACAGAAAGATTTTGTGAGCCAGAAATGGTCGAATTAAAAAGGAAAAACCCAGCTTAACAAGGTCTGAGATTAGCCAATCTGGTAAATACCAAGTAGTGGGTCAGTTTGCAGGTTCTTATACAGAGATGAGAAATGGCCTACTAGACTTAACCTGATCAGATTAGCAAACTGAAAACATTTAAGAAAAAGAAAAGAAGAAAAGGAGAAAAAGGGGTTTGGTGGGTTGGATCAATAACTGCCTCCCACACCAGTTGGCATCTGAGTGTGGGTCAGCTGGCGAAGTTTCAACAGGAGAATGACAATGCTTCATAAATATGATCAATAATGACAAATTTTAAAGGATGAGAAAAAAGAAGAGGTTTATCTGCAGATCATTCCTGAGATATTAAAAATTGCATAGGTAGATTTGACTTACAAAAGATACAAGGTTATTATTCAGTAATGCCCTCTAGTCATTCTAATATCTCTATCACTCAGTGCCTTACTTTGACTATGTTGGCTTCCTTTAAAATCATTTTATTTTGAAACTTGAAATTGCCCCTTCTCAATCAGTTTGCAATTAGCAAATATTGTACTTTACTAATTCTATAATTATTCAAACAAGAGGACTAGGAAAGGTACATAAGACATTTCAGCTTACCAAATAAACGGTTATTCTCTCTATCCCAAGCAATTCCATTCAAAACATCAATTTGCTGGAAAATATTGAAATTCTCAACATCAGCACAATTCAGCAAGAAAAAAACACATATAATCAGTTGTGAACAAATTTTCACAGGAAAGGTAAAATATCTCTGACATAAAAGTTTTTTTTTAAAGGTTCTAATACTTACAATATTCCCAGCTGCAATTAAATTTTCCCTATAAAAATTATTAAAGAAGAAAAAACATGAGCATCTGTCATAAAACTTTCAAGGAACTGCACAGAGAACTTATCTATGTAATAATAATAATGTCATGTAAAACTAAGAAAAACCAATGGTTGGATGGAAATAGAAAGTTGTAACCACAAGGCAAAGAAGCAAACCTCAACTCGTTAAGGAGAATCCATCCAAGAACAGTCCCATCTTTATGTGAAATTCTGGCTATGCAGTCAGTCTGAACCATGAAAATACATTAATTCAGGAAAGTAATTGAGGCATCTACATGAAATGATCCATGAAAGTCATTGGATGAGGAAAAAGATTACTAGATTATAGTGCTGGAAATCATCCAAAGTTTCAGAGGAGGATAATTACTTTAGGATTGATGAAACAAGAATCAAGTCCTAATGCTTTTTAAAAACAACAGTCACAAAAATGAAAGATCAGATCTATTAATCAATCAAAAAAATCAGACTCAGACAATACAAAACTTTCAATTTTTCCTGACTCAGACACCTGTTGAAAGCATCCAACCCCAGTCAGGCTAGGTTTAGAAACAAAACAATGAACAATCCCAGTCCATAAATTGTATACATTCAAGAGAAGGTGATTATAAGCCAATTATGTCATAAAATGCGTGGCACATGCTACTGGAGATAGGAAATCACCTGCCAGATATTAGCCCATACTTCACCATTTATAAATTCCAACTCATTGATATTATAAACATCATGACCTTTGTATTTCACATCTCCTTTTCCTATCACTGTGTTAAACAAAGATGTTTAGGTTAAAACTTGATAATGGCACCAAATTATCAAAATATAAATGGCAAGAGGAACTTAACCAAATCTTAGCACCATGTGGTCTGAAAGTTGAAGTGGCTTATACAAAATACAGATAATTAAGTACAAAGACCACCCCATAAAAAGACAAGGAAATAGCACTAACTACCATATGCTTGAGAGACCTTTAAATGTTTTAGGGTCAAGTTGATAGAGTGTTGAAGATCCATCACTCCCAAATAAGATTTTCCCATCTGTTGTCAGTCCCCAGCCATCCTGCATCTGATGAGTAAATGTCCCACGCTGCATGAAAGCAAAAATATATGAATAGAAATAAATGCCATGAATTTGGTCTGAAAACAAACTAGAAAGTAGGAACTACATATCATGGCATGGTAACTTTTTAAATTTACAGAAAAAACAAGATCTGAAAACTAAATCGCAAGAATAGGACATCTCATGAAAATAAAAAACAAGATTGATAACCAAATTGGGCAGTCACCTACACAAGAAGTGCTAAAATGGCCAATCAGTCAACAAGATATGCTTGACTATTTCTATTATTCATCATGTCAAACTTAGCTCTAACTTTTCAAGTGCACTCCATGATTCATCAAACCAAAAGAAATAAACCAAAGCATAAAAGAAAAAAACAAGATCAATGAAATACTTTGCTTAGATTATATCTGTCATATATGAAACCAGTTTTCTTCAACCAAGTCACTTGAAACAACCTACAGGACATAAAAATTTACACAAATCAGGGCTTCCAATAGATTCCAATAAAGTGTAGTACAAATAATAATACAAATGAAGGAATAAACAGTTGAGGATTCCAAAGGAACCAGAACTCATGCAAAAGAAATGTGTTGTTACTTCAAATAAAGATAAATATATGCCAAGATTAGGTTTATTTAAATTGATGAACTGCAACTATGGCTGTAAATGAGTTGAACTAGCTTGCTCATTCATGAGATCAGCCTGTCTGAGCAAAGCCTGAGCATCATATTGAGATCATTTAGCTAAACAAGCCTGAGTCAATCACACTCTGAGTCTCTAACATGACAAGCCAAGCTTGAGCCAGACTCTGACATGGCAAGCCTGGGCAAAGCTGGAAAAGCTCAGCTCAGCTCAATTTGTTTATAATCTTAACCACGACTAACCAAATAATTCCAGATTGAAATGAGTCTTTCCCACCACCCTGAGGAAAAAAAAAAGAAAATTTTAATTAGAAGAAAAACCTCTTTCAGTCTGTCCTCCAGATCCATTTATCTTTCCTAGAATTAGAGGGGTGTCTAACTAATGGTGCAAAGAAGTTCATTAAAAAGTTAACATCCGATTTACTAATAATCCTTAAATTTGGAATGAGAACCACACACAAGCACCTGTATTATAACTTCTAAATAACTCCTTGTTCACTGTGTTAGAACCAGTGCTACTTTGAGGGAGCACAACCTCCTTTAGAAATTGAGAGGGAGGAAGAGAAGAGAAGAGAAGAGAGAGAGAGAGAGAGAGAGAGAGGTTGGAGGGAAATTCAATTAATTCGGTCATGCCAACTATTTACAAGGCTATTTGTAGCTCAGGCCCTTGGCCGATTACACAACCAACAGAGATAACTAATTCTGACAAGTGGTTGGTTGCTGTGGCAGTCTAAGCCTCTCCACATCTGCAGCACATTACACACCTTCTATCATCCACTTCAATACCCCTCTCTATTCAAATCATTTTTAGTTAAAATTTTGTTCAAAGCTGTCATCTAAACAAAGAAAGATAATTTGGAAGGGATATTTCTGTTCCAAACTCTTGTACTTGGAAATTTAGAAGCTTCATCTCCTGCTAAATTGCTATAAAAAGATTTAAAAGTAAATTTGCCAGACTACTCCATATTCCACATCCTCTTATACTCCCTTTCCCCACTCAGCCTTTTATTATACAGCATCTGCAACAGATCAATGACCAATCTTTGAGTTAATGGTATATGATATTTATTTATCAAAAAAAAAAATGTTAGAAAGCTAGTGGGAGAGACCTGATTTTACAGTTACTATGGGTCTTCACCAAGGTTTCTATTCAAGAGGAAGTTCCATGGTGCATGTTGTTTGCGGATGACATTAATTGATGAAACTAATGAAGGATTAAATGCAAAATTAAGCTTATAGATAAATGCTTTAGAAGCAAGAAGTGTTAAAATAAGTAGGACTAAAACAGAGTACATGACATGTAAATTTAGTAACAATAGGAGTGTAAATCAAGATACACTTAGGATTGGAGATCAAGAGATAACTCAATGTGACCATTTCTGTTACCTTGGTTCAATAATTCATAACAAGGGAGAGATTGAGGAGGATGTCACCCAAAGAATTAAAGTAGGATGGGCAAAACGGAGGGGTGCACTGGACTTTTATGCATAGTTTTTTAAGGCGCCAAGGCGAGGCTAGGCGACAGGGGGCGCCTTGTTGCCTAGTCGCCTAGGCGAGGGATTTTTTTTAAGTAAAACCATATATCCAAGGGTAGTTCCCTAGGTTCCATAACCATCTTTCCTTAATAATTATCCATAATTTTCATAAGAGAAGTATAAATTTTATGTTTTAAGTTTAGAAAATTAACATTTTATGAGAAGACAAGGAACAAAGGAAAGAAAATTCAAAAAATATAGGGGCTGAACCCCTACTTTTGTTATAGGAAAAGAATAAAAGAAAAGGTGGAAGAAGAAGAAGATCTGTAAGAAGAAAATGTGTTGATTAGACAAAATTTTAAGTTATTCCCTTGCTTATTGGTTCAGGTTCTGAAATCTTTGAGGATTCAATCAAGGATCAAAACTTCGATATGATACGTCCTGTATCGAGTGTATTGTGTTGTATCTTTGGCGCCCCAATACACATGTTTACAGGTATTACCCATTTTTTAAAATAATATATATATATATATATATTTATTTATTTATTTAGAAATGAAATTGAAAACCAAAGAAATGAAAAAAATAGGGGGAGTATCGTTATAAGTACTGATACACCTCTGCTGATACACAGAGGTGTATCGATACTTTGAACCATGGGTTCAATACAGCAGTTAGCAATATTTGTGTTGATTAAACTCTAACAAATAAGAAAATAATAAAAAGAAATTAGTACATAAACACATAAAATGAATATTCTAGTTTAATAATGCCTATTTTATAATTACAATGTCAAAAAATTAAAAATATAAAAGTATTTTATAACATAGTGCACAAAACTACTTGGTGATTGGGTGAGGCGAGCTTCCAAGGGTGCCTTGTCGCCTAGGTGTCGCCTTGACAACAATGCTTTTATGTTATAGGCAAATACCACTTATGTTAAAAGGAGATTTCGATAAAATAGTTGTAAGGCCAGCCATGTTGGATGGAGCAGTGTGTTGGGTAGGTAGTCAAGAAAATGAATGTGGTAGAAATGCAAATGTTAAGATAATATGAGTGGAAAAACTAGAAAGGGCAAGATTAGGAATAAAGTTATCTGTAGGAACCTAGGAGTAGCACCAACAGGTGATAAAATGAGAGAAGGTATGCTAAGATGATTTCAGCACGTGCATAGAAGACCACCAACTGCACTAGTTAGAAGAAGTGATTTGTTACACATTGAAGGGCTAGAAGAACTCGGGGTAGACCAAAAAGGATATGGGTAGAAGTAGCAAGAAATGATTTAAGCACTAATAATTTAACAATGGATATGACTTTAAATAAAACGGATTGGGTAAACAGGATTCATGTAGCCAACCCCATATAGTTGGGTGGGATAAGATGATGATCTGCAACAGATCAATGAGGGATGATATTTCCCACTCATTCAGATTTCTGGGAAATAGGGGGTTCCATATTCTACTTCCATTCTGCATTTGTATGTATTCAGCCATTGTTGCATTATTATTTAAAGCTATATCAAATAGCTTCGGATATTGAACCATCAACAATCCCTCCTCACACTACTGGTCCTTCCAAGACAGCAACCTCTGCCCATTACCCATTTCATATCTAATACCCTTCATAAACTTCAGATATATTTTCTGAATTCCTTACCACACAGAACATCCATATGAATCCCTAACCACATTTGAATCCCAATCTCTGTTACTGATCCCATATTTAGCTTCAATTACCCTTCTCCACAAGCTATTCTAGTTGTGGCCAGGTATCCCTTTATCTCTTTAATAATTCTCTATCTTTTCTTCTTTTTTTCTTTATTAGTTTTTTGTCTCTCTCTAATACAGAAAACTTTATTGACAAGGACAATCTCATGGTTGAAATCTTCACAATTGTTGGCAGATTTCTCCTTTGATGACTTAAGGAGAAACTGGGAAGCAATGGCTTCTACAGTATCCACCAAGAACAAATCACAAGTTGAATGGAAACCCCCACCAAATGGAGTGGTAAAATTGAATTTTGATGGCAGCTGCCAAGGTAACCCAGGGCCATCAGGAATTGGTGGGATTCTGAGAGACAAAGACAGCAATATGTTCTCTTTTTTCAGGACCAGTGGGTGAAGGTGATTCTGTAAGGGCAGAGTTACTAGCAGTGGTACAAGGTATACAGATGGCTAGTCAAATTGGAGTGAACAATTTATTAGTAGAAGGGGATTCCCAAGGTAGTAGTGGGCTGGCTGAATAGCCCAGATACAGCTTGGTGGGGCTATAGGGACCTGTTAAAGAATGTTAAATGGATGACAAGAAATATGACTGTCAGGTTTCAGTGGGTCAGCAGATCAGCAAATGCAATGGATGATTCTCTGGCCAAGCAAGGGGTGTCAAGGGGAGATCTGTTTTGGGCTACTTTGTAATTTGTGTTTCAGGCTTGGGCATGTTTAGTGTATATGATTCAGTCCTCGGGGGAGGCAACATCTCGTGCCTCTTCCTAGGCTGATTGTATTTTCTTTATTTGAATTAATAAAACTACTCACTTATCAAAAAAAAAAAATACAGCAAGCTTTATTTGAATTCCTTATTGCTGAAAATTTATTCAGAAACACAAACATACAGTCTAACCAACTGTATTTCATCCTTCATTATTATCCATCAACATATTCCACTGCATATCAATTGATCCACCATCAATACCCCATTCCAATTCATAAAAATGGTGTTATATCAATTAACTACTTATATATCTACCATGTTTAGGGTGGCAAATGGATCAGTTCAAGTTGGATTTACCTAGATCAAAATTTGATTCATTAATATGTGAATTATGTTATTCTCATGCATTGCTCCTTATTCTAATGAAATTCTGTTATTCCCTCTCAAAAAAATGTGAATTCAAATGAAATCTTGTCAGATTTATATAGGATCTAAACCAAATTCGGATTGCAAACAGATATTGAATAATATTAATAAATTAAACTAAAAAAATATAAAATTATCAAAATATTATATAATTAACAAAATGAACACTAAAAATAACATTGAATACTGAATATCATAAACAAAATGAATTGAAAATAATTTGTATGAAACTTGAATAAATGAATTTCAACATTAAAGCAATTTTACAAATGGATCAATTTGAATTTTATACATGTATATAAGTTGAACTGGATTGGATCATATCAGGTCGGACAGAGATGGATCATTGGATACATATTCGGTCCAATTGTAAACAGATCAAATTCAGATTACCCTCAACCAGATCAAATTATTATTTGGATAACAGATACTATTTAATGATGACGTAGACAAAGTCGCTGATTAATAGGCTGGCAAACGAGCACATATTTTTAACCTAAAACTGTACCATCACAACAACTAGACTTTACCAATTTAACAAGCAGACATCTTCAACAGTAGATTTTTTTGTCCAGGATAATAAACCAAAAATAAAACAACAAAGCAAAAATTCTGTTACCACAGATCTTTTTATTTTCTTTAACGTGCAAGAGAAATTGCAAACTAAAAGAGGTATTTACAAACCTTTCACCAAGAAGAGTAAGGCCTTCCCCAAAATAAGAGGAATCCATCTTATGAAGAATCTCAACCTGAAAATTGGAAACAAAGGCCTTCAGTAAACAACTTGAATAATATACATGAAACCATCCTAGCCATTATCGTGTAATGCACAGATTTTATATCTTTAGGAAGAATATTATTTAACATTATTCTTTGTACTAAGTACAATAACTTATATTATAGTTCTATTGGCAACCAAATTTGACTGAAAAGGGGAAAAAAGAAATACAAAATGAAGAGATAACTTGGGGGCCTCCCCCACTTTGGCTGGGGGTAGGCTAGAGATTTTTTCCCTTGTATCTATGGATTATGTTGGCCAATGGTGTGGTCTCATCCTAGCTAATTTGCTTTTCTTGTATCTATTCTCTGCAATTTTATTTAAAAAGTCTTGTCAATATGTTATTAATCAAACAATTAAAAAAAAGATACACCAGTTGTATATCTTTCTTTTTTTCTTTTTGTTAATAAATTTATCTATTATGAAAAAAAAATCAATGACAATGCAAAGAAACAATATTCCTCGGAACATTGGCAAGAAGGATCCTTGCTTCCACTATTTTGCTTCTAAGGTTAACCAGCTTATAATAGCTTTAGAGTACCCTTCTACAATCAGGCCCTGAAAAATTTGCAGCTTTAGCCATCTTCAGCCCTTGTAGTACCACTTGCAATTCTGCTGTTATAGAGTTTGCCGATCCAATTGGTCCAAAAGAAAAGCCACAAAAATATCACCTGAATGGCTTCTGAAAACTTAGCAATGCCAAATCTTCCTAGGTTCCCCATACTGCATCAATCATAGTTCATTGTTAATTTGTTTATCAGTGGGGGCTCCAATTCATTGTAGGGTGGTTGTATGCCATAGATGATGCTGCCACCATGGACTGGATATCCTCTGAAGTGAAGCAAGAGAAAGCTCCAGAAGATTTTACCCAATGAACAATTCTTATGTGAATTAATTTGATTAGATCTTCTCTAGTCTGGTATTTATCTTGAAAATCCTTACATTTCTCTTTTCTCAAATGGACCAGGTTATAGAAGCTCTTGTGCATGATCTCCATAGGATCTTGCTTTGCATTGATAAAAGCTTGGGGGATTTATCCACAGGTAGGATTGCATTAAAGAATGAGACAGAAGAGAATTTGCCAATGTTGCCACCATTTCACGCTGTGAGGTCATTTTGATTAGGGTCCAGAAAGACCTCTTCCAACAAATAAATAAGCTACATGGATTCTTCAATTTCAGATTCCTTAAGTCCCCTACAAAGGCCAAAGTTCCAACTTCCAAGATAGGGATGTGCATCAAGGTTCACAAAGGAAGCAAAAGACTGGTTCTTAAGGTTTGATAAGGAGTGTGTTCTCAAGAACAGCTTTCAATAATGAATCTTCCAACAATAAATCTTTCAAGAATTTAATTACTCCCATTTTCCAGTGTCATATCTAATGTAATAAAGGAATAAGTCAATTATTGTGGGCCCTGGCCATGAAATGCATACAAAAGTCAATCTGAAATTCTGGTCATGCTATCAACCAACCCATCAACCATATAATCATCATTTCATTTTCATAGTTTTGATTTAGGAAATGTATTTGTAGTTTATGGTTCATTTTCATTAGTTATATATTTCTGAAAATCAAGGTTGGGCAATAATATATGATACTATCACATCCTAAAAAGAAACAATAAGACCAATACTCTCTGTATGCATTAAGAGGACCAAATAAGATTTTGGCATTATAGAGTTATTACCTTCCCAGTCTGGAGAACAACCTTTCTGACTGAGGACTGAAATAAAACAAAAGTAATTGAATGGTCAGTGCATAAATTACAGGGAAATGGATACAAATACAATTTTAGATGTAGCAGCATGGGTTGCATGGAACACTTCTTTATGAGTAATCCAAACAATATTGTTAATGCATAATGTAAATATATACAAAAAGGGACCCAGGCAAGAGCTCCAAAAGACTTTACAAAGTAGCACCCTTTACACCCAAAAGGGTAACTCTGTTTCCAATAGTTGTCTGTACTTTATAAAGTCACAATGACTGATACATGTACATTTAGATTCACTGTGATTATTTTGGAAAATTTCAATCACTTCCATGAATTTTACAAGTTTACATGCTAGCGCTTCCTGGATATGGAAACATTGCAGCTTGAAATGGGCATGGATATGTGATTTAAACTAAAAACTGAGGTATCTGACACAATAGCATGACCAATTGGAACTATCTCAGTAATGTAGTTGGAAATCAGATTTCCTCCTCAAAAAATCAGTCCTCACACCCACCTCACAGCCCTTGCATCCGTGCATTGGGAACATCTTCCCATGAATAAAACATACAAGTATGGAGATGTTTGCAATGTGTGGCTGTGAGGTGGGTCTGAGGACCAATTTTATAAGGAGTGTTATGATTCGGCCTGCCTTGGAGTTCTATTTGTCTGAGATCAGTCACGTAGAGAGAGGTAGAAAGGTGGAAGAAAGAGAGAGAGAGAAAAGGAGAAAGTCTGGTTCGAACTGGAAGTCAAAAAACCTAACTCCCATTCGGCCAGACATGCGCTTTTATTATTAAAATAAATGGAAAAGACATATATGCCCTTATTTAAGGAATGAGCACTGGTTCTAACATAATATTACAGATCAGCAACCTTAACATAAGTATAAAGACAGAAATACCCCTTACGCTAACACTCCCCCTCAAGCTGGTGAGTATATATCATATAATCCCAGCTTGTTACATATGTAGTCCACTCTTCCCTGACTCAACCCTTTTGTAAATAAGTCTGCCCACTGGTTTCCTGTATTAACGTATGCAGTGTCTAGCTCTCCATTCAGCACCT